TCCAGTGGGTCAGAAGTTTACATACACTAAGTTGACTGTGCCTTTAAACAGCTTGGAAAATTCCAGAAAATTATGTTATGGCTTTAGAAGCTTCTGATAGGCTAATTGACATCATTTGAGTCAATTGGAGGTGTACATGTGGATGTATTTCAAGGCCTACCTTCAAACTCAGTGCCTCTTTGCTTGACATCATGGGAAAATTAAAAGAAATCAGGCAAAACCTCAGAAAACAAATTGTGGACCTCCACATGTCTGGTTCATCCTTAGGAGCAATTTCCAAACGCCTGAAGGTACCACATTCATCTGTACAAACAATAGTACGCAAGTATAAACACCATGGGACCACGCAGCCATCATACCGCTCAGGAAAGAGACGTGTTCTGTTTCCTAGAGATGAACTTACTTTGGTGCGAAAAGTGCAAATCATCCCAGAACAACAGCAAAGGACCTTGTGAAGATAATGGAGGAAACAGGTACAAAAGTATGTATATCCACAATAAAACGAGTCCTATATCGACATAACCTGAAAGGCCGCTTAGCAAGGAAGAAGCCACTGCTCCAAAACCGCCATAAAAAAGCCAGACTACGGTTTGCAACTGCACATGGGGACAAAGATCGTACTTTTTGGAGAAATGTCCTCTGCTCTGATGAAACAAAAATAGAACTGTTTGGCCATGTCTCCCGAGTGGCGCAGGGGTCTAGAGTAGCTGTGCCACTAGAGATCCTGGTTCGAATCCAGGCTCTGTCGTAGCCGGCGCGACCGGGAGACCCATGGGGCGGCGCACAATTGGCCCACCGTTGTCCAGGGTAGGGGAGGGAATGGCCGGCAGGGATGTAGCTCAGTTGGTAGAGCATGGCATTTGCAACGCCAGGGTTGTGGGTTCGATTCCCACGGGGGGCCAGTATGAAAAATAAAATAATGTATGCACTCACTAACTGTAAGTCGCTCTGGATAAGAGTGTCTACTAAATGACTTTAAAGAATAAAAATAATAATGACCATCGTTATGTTTGGAGGAAAAAGGGGGGAGGCTTGCAAGCTGAAAAACACCATCCCAATCGTGAAGCACGGGGGTGGCAGCATCATGCTGTGGGGGTGCTTTGCTGCAGGAGGGACTGGTGCACTTCACAAAATAGATGGCATCATGAGGAAGGAAAATTATGTGGATATATTGAAGCAACATCTCAAGACATCAGTCAGGGAGTTAAAGCTGGTCGCAAATGGGTCTTCCAAATGGACAACGACCCCAAGCATACTTCCAAAGTTGTGGCAACAAATCAAGGTATTGGAGTGGCCATCACAAAGCCCTGACCTCAATCCTATAGAAAATGTGTGGGCAGAACTGAAAAAGCGTGTGTGAGCAAGGAGGCCTACAAACCTGATTCAGTTAAACCAGCTCTGTCAGGAGGAATGGGCCAAAATTCACCCAACTTATTGTGGAAAGCTTGTGGAAGGCTACCCGAAATGTTTGACCCAAATTAAACAATTTAAAGGCAATGCTACCAAATACTAATTGAGTGTATGTAAACTTCTGACCCACTGGGAATGTGATGAAAGAAATAAAAGCTGAAATAAATCATTCTCTCTACTATTATTCTGACATTTCACATTCTTAAATTAAAGTGGTGATCCTAACTGACCTAAAACAGGGAATTTTTACTAGGATTAAATGTCAGGAATTGTGAAAAACTGAGTTTAAATGTATTTGGCTAAGGTGTATGTAAACTTCCGACTTCAACTGTAGTTAAGTAAACTATATTTTTCTTAAGGGTAGTTTAACTTCTTCCAGTGTGAAGTAATGGTAGCTTGGTAAACCATATTTTCAGAGTAGCATAAACCAAATCACATATAACTTTAAATGAACTTGCTTCTCACAGAGAAGCTAAACTAAACATACTTAATGTACTAAATATACTAAACTACATATATTAAATGTCTTAATAACAGATAAAAAATAAATCATATACAACTTGAAATGATCATCAGCATGCTAATGAAGAAAAGAGCAAAGACTGAATATTTTTATGTAGCTACAATATTTACATGAGAGAAATGTGAACACTATGGGCTATGGGGATTTTAACCTTAGGATGTATAAAGGGGCAACTACAAAATGTTCATGAGCTAAGTGATAACTGATGAGAAATTAGCCTTTAACCAATGGAAGTCTAAAAGAAAAACAAAATCAAACCCAGTTCAGAACTATTGCCTTTTTGAGTGAACTTTGGAGATGTATGCCCTGTGGAAGTCCTTCGTCCAAAGCTTAATGACTGCATGCACTGAAACAATCAGAAAACACAAACCAAAAACAACATTAAGATTCTGAAAACAATTACTGAAAACATTTTCTATTTCGGCATCTTAAAAGGTAGATTCAGCGGCTAATGGGCGGGTTTGGCTTTGAAAGTCCAAACTTTGTAACAGCTGGGGTCATCTATTTGTAACAGCTGTTACAAAGTTACCTTGATGTTGCTATGCTTCTTACTGAAACTGGCATTCTATATATTTTTAGAAAGAAAACAATGATTATGCCTTGTGTAAATTCTATACAAACAAAAAATGCAGTTAGCATAAACTGGGACTCAGGCCTACTAAATCTAAATTTAAATGTGTGGCCAACTGTTTCTAGAGAGCCACAGTATATGAGATTTTTCTCCAGCCAAGCGGCAACACAATTGATTCAAACTAATCAATCTGTATTTTTGCTTGGTAACGGATTGCTTCTAGAAAGAAAGAGAGAAGGAATAACACATGATCAAGATGAGCTAGCAGTTTAAAGAGCATTGAAATATCTAATTTTTACAAATAATAAATGTATAGCAGGCTACATTTATGAGAATAATACATGTATGCATTTGCATACCTTATCAAACTTGAAGAAGATTACATTACACTCATTTATTACAAAAATGTGTTATGAGTGAATGCACCACAAACATCTTTCCAGGGTGTTGTTGCATCCTCTTCCCAATGCAGCCTCTTCCAACACTACGGGTAGAGGAAGGGTATCCATCTGCAAAAGTTTTTCTCTGATGTACAGTCTCCTGAGTGGCGCAGTGGTTTAAGGCACTGCATCGCAGTGCTAACTGTGCCACTAGAGATCCTGGTTCGAATCCAGGCTCTGTCGCGACCGGGAGACTCATGGGCGGTGCACAATTGGCCCAGCGTCGTCCAGGGTAGGGGAGGGAATGGCCGGCAGGGATGTAGCCCAGTTGATAGAGCATGGTGTTTGCGACGCCAGGGTTGTGGGTTCGATTCCCACGGGGGGCCAGTATAGAAAAATATATATTCACTAACTGTAAGTCGCTCTGGATAAGAGCGTCTGCTAAATGACTAAAATGTAAGTCAGCTCATATTGCTTGTTGCTAGCTGTTGTGATATCTAACTTGGTACTGAACAGTGACGCTAGCTGGCTAGCATATTGACATTTGTTATTACAAGACAGCAAGTCTTTACCTAAAAATATAAGTGTTTAGGCAAATCATTAGTTAGCTAGCTAGCTATCATTTTAATTGTGCAAAAATATGATAGCTATCTAGCTAAACACTAGCTGAGCACTAGCCAGTCAGTGGTGCTGACAGGTTGAAACTGATATAGCAACAACATGTGTTTCACTCTATCCCATAAAACATGACACTGCTAAACAGGAATCAGTTAGCTAGCACAATGTTTTAATTTATTAGTATGTTTAATTAATTGTACAACTTCGGTAGGTAGATTGCTTGGTTTGCATTTCCAATAGATTTTTCTTCTCCCACCGACTGGTCATCAATGCTTACTGGTCTTGGAACTACTTCTGGTAAACTGTTTGCCACTAATGGCAATACATATTGTTGCCACAGGTTTGCCACAGATTAAAATAGAATCTTGAGAGAATTGTTTGCCAGAAAAAAAACTGGCAAACTGTTTGCCACTAGTGGCGATAAATATGATTGTTGCCTAAGGTTTGCTGCAGATTCACCACAAGTGGCAAACATTTGCAAACTTCTGGCAAAATTTTGTGGCACAATATTTAGTGTACCACAAATTCATTTTTATAAGGGGCAGCACAAGCAAGAGCCAGTACTGAAGGATGATATAAGCTTTTCAAAGTGGGATTTAATTAAAGTCAAGGATGGGATCAATTAAGTTTTTTGATTCAGGAAGTGAATTGAAATTGAATTCACAAATGGAAAAATCATAATTGAAAATAAATGGACAATTTGCATTTCATGAAGTAAAATGTTAATTCACTTCCTGGATTGAAATGTGAGTTGACCCCAACCCAGATTCAAGTACCAAGTGAACGTTCATGAAAATTAACAAAGGGCTTGGAATGGACATTGATGGGATGGGATAGCATTGGCATGTCTCCAGTGGAGGATGTCTCCTTCTCGACAAATGACTGTAGTCGAAGTTGTTGTTGTTGGAGCTGATGAATTATGGAGGTAATAACATGAGTCTGGATTCATGGAGACTGGAGGCAACACATGCCCGTGCACACACAGGCCAGTGGCAAGTCCCATGACTCAGACGAGAGCGAGCGAGGAGAGCAGACATTCCTCCCTGGATGGCGACAGACTAAACACATTGTTTTTTGGGGAATTAGGGAGACACAGGTGTTCTCCAGGCTGACTCCTTAATTGCTGTCTGTCTGATTTCCTCATATACAGGCTCAAAGTGGCATAACAAAGGAGAGTACGACTACCAAGCCAGCAATTGTATAGTAGCATATTGTAATTAAGCTTAAAGGGATAGATCACCCAGTGGGTTGTGAGAGACAGTGGTTAGGGAAACAAATCGAAGCAATAATGTTTATCTCTCCTGGTCTATAGACTGCTTTCAGGGTAAGCAAACACCTAAGTAATTGTATAATATGAATGAACTATCTCTTTAATGAGATGTAGACTGTAAAGCTTCAGAGATATGTGATACGTATTTTGTAGACCAATTAATCAATCAATTAATCAATCAATCCCTCAATGAATCAACAAACCAGATACTTATCCTCCCTTATTTGTATTCACAGTGCACAGATGGCTATAAATTTGACATGGAACGACAAGAATGCAAAGGTAAGAGGTGCTTCTCAGCACTTTGTCAAATGTCCTTGCACGTTTCTGACTTAATGAATAGATTAATTAGTAGATGAATTGAATAGCACTGTGGAAGAGATACTATCAGTTCTAGCAGACACCGATACAGTATGTGTATACCAATGTTAAACGTTAATTATTGAGTCCTACTGAGCAAGCATATTGATGGTGGAGGTGGTGGTTTTCCTGGCAAACCCATGCAGACTTGGTGGTGTTACACTCCGACCAGACCTGTGTTCAAATACTATTAGTTTTTTTCTAACTTGGAGTGACAGGTGGGTGGGATTTGCACTTTTGGGGCTATTCCACTGGTTTCATTGCGCCAGGCAAGCTCAATCAAGCGCAGCTTAAGTAGAAAACAAACCGTGGCTTACTATATGAACCTAGGTCTGACTGTCTGTGACCGCGGTCCTCCCCTTTTCAGACATCAACGAGTGTACCACGGTGCCCGACGCCTGCAAGGGCGGCATGAGGTGCATCAACCATTTCGGAGGCTACTTCTGCCTGCCCCAGAATGCCCAGATCATCATCAGTAACGGTGACGACGAGCCCACCGTGACCCCTCGGGTGGAGGCACAGCCTCCTCTGGTACCCGCCCCTGCTCTGCCTGTCCGACGGGTCATCCAGAGCTCCTTCCAAAGCCCGGGCACCATGCAGTGTGCCGCGGGGTTCGTGGTGGACGAGCTCAACTACTGCCGAGGTAAGAGTAAGCCCACGCAACTTGCTGGGGCATGTTTATTAGGATTCGGGCTCACTATAGTCAAATGTTTAAAAAAACATTTTGAAACTGAAAATGGGTGTTTCTTATTGGACAAATATCCTGATTCGTTATGGAAGTGTCCAGCATCATTTTAATCCTACGTACAGAGATCCCATCAGTCCCTGACTGATGTAATTTGAAGTAAATAGGAATGGATCTGCCAAACAGTTTTTGACCAGAGGTTGATTCTTATAAGCGGACTGTGGTGAAGTGCAGTGCAGTTATACAAACTCAGCATTGCAGGGGCCCTAGTTTGAATGAGCAATCCCAGCAGGCAGATTTCCCTCTGGAATACTACCGATGCTAGCTTAGGAACAACTATTGAGGAAAAAGATAGCCATCTCAGATTGTCATTCAGTCACATTCAGGATTCATTCCAATTGGAATTCATTCAAATTGATTGCAGTCCCTTTAGAGCACTTTGTATGAAAACAGTTCAAGTGAAATTCCTTACTGGCACTGAATATCTTACACTACACCTAGTCCTATTTTGTTAAGCCAATAACACAGTATATAAACGATGCAATTAACTGGACCGTTTGAACAGTTTATGCGCTGTCTGCAGGTTATGAAGATGCATTGTATTTGATCTGTAAAGTGGGGAACCACTTAACTTCCATTTACCCCTTTGCTCTCTTTCTTTGGATGATGCATTTGTAGCCGTCATTAAAGAATGTCCTCATTTGTCTCTGTGTATGTATGCATGCGTGTGCATGCATGTGTGTGTGTGTGTGTGTATGTGTGTGTACGTGCATGTGGGTGCGTCCTCCAATCTCCTGTTGGCAAAGGCGCAAGATTTTAGTCAAGTTGCAACATGCCAAATCCTGGCGGTAGAGGCAAACAATTGCTGTTACATAAACCATTCAATCAACATGGGGCGACAGCCAAGCTAAGCTCAGGGAAGGAAGGAGATGGTAGCCAACAACACATTCCTGAAACATATTTTTTTCTCATTTAATCATATTGTTTCTTTCATCAGAGGGACTGTCCTTAAGTTGGAGTGATGCACAAACTAAAGGCAGACAGATTTGTGGTATTATGATATGTACTGTACAGTATTATACAGTGTCAGATACAAGATCAAAATGGTGCTACATCTCCGAAAGAAATGGCATTAGTGATCTGCATTAATACTTTTCCAGTTTGTCATCACAGTCAAAACCTACACTGTTACCAAGGAAGATTATTGCAGTGTCTGTCCAATCCATTAAAGTATTTTTGTTTTCTGTAGTTTGAGCTATTTAACATGTTCCTGATCTGTGAGTCTGGTAACTAATGCTAATAAGAACATGGTACTTGGCCATTAATAAAAGTTCACAGGGCGGGATTCAAGTGCAACACTCCAGCCGTAATTCTTCAATGTTTACAGATCTGGAAAGGTGTGTGTATACACTGTGGTGTGTGGTATTATTTCAACGTTGTATTTCTGGCAAATCCTGGCAAGAAGTACTATATTTGAAGGTGTCCTGTTCTTTGCACTCTTATTTCTGGCACAGTGTGTTAATTACACTCTATTATGCTACATAAAACTAAAGTTTGATTGCAGGATTGGTTCACCTCTGTCAGCATGTCACCTTGTCACTGGTCTTAATTCATCTCTAGGAAAAAAAGGTTGTAGGGCGACAGTATCGTCACTTTTTCCCCGCATACATGCTGAGTGGAGGCCAGCTTTGATCATTAGGGCAATTCACCTCCCAATCCCGCTGCCACCAGCCAAAAGCAGGGTCAGCTGGGCTTTGTTAACTGGAAGTGTGTATGAGTGTGTGCCTGTGTGTGTGTATAGTTGAAAGGGGAACTTGTTTACACAGACTTCCAGCCTCCAGGATGACATAATTCTCACATTGTGTCCATCACTGTCGTCACCAAATGAATTACATCAGCAGGGTAGCCTGGTCCCAGATCTGTTTGTGCTGTCAATGATCATAGCATTTGGCAATACAGCACAAACATATCTGGGACCAGGCTAGGGTATGAGGGGATTGGATGCTTTGTGCCTTTGAGCTTTCTGAACAGACTTGGTGTTCTCTCCCACACGTGTAACACCTCCGACTCCCTGTATATGAATCCCCTATTTTTAGCAAGTTGTATATAGAGACCACCCAGGAGTGGGATTGCAAGGGAACGTTGTCTGTGTTCCATTCAGAAAATTGCTTTTGTTGAACCAGGAAACGGAATATCAGAATGTGTGGATAGGCATATTAGGGGTCCAGACTGCAGAGTGTGTTTTGGAGCAACTTGTCCCATGAAATTTTGCCCATGTTCTTTTTTAGATAACAAAAATAAATGGTAAAACATGTAACTAGCAGTTGGATATTTTTATAGGAGTTGGTTTGAATTAGGTGTGCCCAGGGGTGAATAATGAATAATAGTACCAAGGAAACAGAAAGTGCAACCAAATCAGGTGAATTCAGTTGAAGTCTGTTTTTGTTGCATGAAGGACTTTATATCCAGCCTGTTATTATGTCAAATCAAATCGAATCAAGCTTTATTTATACAGCACATTTTAGACATGGAAGCAACACAATGTTCTTTACAGGAAAACAAAACAAGAAAACAATGAAAATAAAACATATTTACTACATAACAAACATAAGAGGATAAAAAACAAAATAATAACAATAAAAACTGAATGACTGAAAAGCACCCTAAGGAAAGCAAAGCTAAAAAGGTGTGTTTGAAGTTTTTTTTTTTAATGGCCAGTTTCAGCCCCCCACAGGTTCTCTTGCAGGCTATTCCAGAGGCTGGGGGCATAGTAACTAAAGGCTGCCTCTCCATGCCTCTTGGTCCTAGGCTTTGGGATAGTTAAAAGGCCAGTGCCAGAGGACCTGAGGTACATAACTTAAAAGCATGTCTGACATGTATTGGGGTGCACAATCGTGGATTGATTTAAAAACCAATAGAATAATCTTTAAATGTATTCTAAAACTCATAGGCAACCAGTGCAGACCTTAAAACCGGGGTAGAAGCTGTTTAGAAGCCTCTTGGACCTAGACTTGGCGCTCCAGTACCGCTTGCCGGTAGCAGAGAGAACAGGCTGGAGTCTTTGACAATTTTTAGGGCCTTCCTCTGACACTGCCTGGTATAGAGGTCCTGGATGGCAGGAAGCTTGGCCCCAGTGATGTACTAGGCCATACGCACTACCCTCTGTAGTGCCTTGCGGTCGGAAGCCGAGCAGTTGCCATACCAGGCAGTGATGCAACCAGTCAGGATGCTCTCGATGGTGCAGCTGTAGAACCTTTTGATGCAGCATTCTGTATGTTTTGCAGTTGACCAATGGCTTTCTTGGGTAGACCAGACAGGAGAGCATTACAGTAGTCAATCCTGCTTGTAATAAAAGCATGGATATCTCTCTGTATCAGCCTGAGAGAGAAACGGAGGCACCTTAGCAATGTTCCTCAGGTGGTAAAAAGCTATTTTGGTCACATTCCTAATGTGTGATTCGAAACTGAGTTCAGAATCTAAAATAACAGCTAGGTTTTTTACCTGGTGTTTTGTCTTTATTGCCCATGAATTAAAATGTTTGGCCAGATTCTCTCTCTGTGCTTTGGCTCCAAACAATAAGTACCTCTGTCTTTTCTTGATTTAGCTGGAGGAAGTTGTGAGCCATCCAAGTATTTAAATCACTAATACAGTCTAATAATTTATCCGTGGATCTAAAATCCTCTGGTGACACGGAAATGTGAAGTTGTGTATCGTCTGCGTAGCAGTGAAAATCAATGCTGTGCTTTCTGATAACGCTGCCAAGGGGTAACATATATACAGTGGGGGAAAAAAAGTATTTAGTCAGCCACCAATTGTGCAAGTTCTCCCACTTAAAAAGATGAGAGAGGCCTGTAATTTTCATCATAGGTACACGTCAACTATGACAGACAAAATGAGGAAAAAAAATCCAGAAAATCACATTGTAGGATTTTTAATGAATTTATTGGCATATGATGGTGGAAAATAAGTATTTGGTCAATAACAAAAGTTTCTCAATACTTTGTTATATACCCTTTGTTGGCAATGACACAGGTCAAACGTTTTCTGTAAGTCTTCACAAGGTTTTCACACACTGTTGCTGGTATTTTGGCCCATTCCTCCATGCAGATCTCCTCTAGAGCAGTGATGTTTTGGGGCTGTCGCTGGGCAACACGGACTTTCAACTCCCTCCAAAGATTTTATATGGGGTTGAGATCTGGAGACTGGCTAGGCCACTCCAGGACCTTGAAATGCTTCTTACGAAGCCACTCCTTCGTTGCCCGGGCGGTGTGTTTGGGATCATTGTCATGCTGAAAGACCCAGCCACGTTTCATCTTCAATGCCCTTGCTGATGGAAGGAGGGTTTCACTCAAAATCTCACGATACATGGCCCCATTCATTCTTTCCTTTACACGGATCAGTGGTCCTGGTCCCTTTGCAGAAAAACAGCCCCAAAGCATGATGTTTCCAACCCCATGCTTCACAGTAGGTATGGTGTTCTTTGGATGCAACTCAGCATTCTTTGTCCTCCAAACATGACGAGTTGAGTTTTTACCAAAAAGTTATATTTTGGTTTCATCTGACCATATGAGATTCTCCCAATCCTCTTCTGGATCATCCAAATGCACTTCAGACGGGCCTGGACATGTACTGGCTTAAGCAGGGGGACACGTCTCGCACTGCAGGATTTGAGTCCCTGGCGGTGTAGTGTGTTACTGATGGTTGGCTTTGTTACTTTGGTCCCAGCTCTCTGCAGGTCATTCACTAGGTCCCCCCGTGTGGTTCTGGGATTTTTGCTCACCGTTCTTGTGATCATTTTGACCCCACGGGGTGAGATCTTGCGTGGAGCCCCAGATCGAGGGAGATTATCAGTGGTCTTGTATGTCTTCCATTTCCTAATAATTGCTCCCACAGTTGATTTCTTCAAACCAAGCTGCTTACCTATTGCAGATTCAGTCTTCCCAGCCTGGTGCAGTTCTACAATTTTGTTTTTGGTGTCCTTTGACAGCTCTTTGGTCTTGGCCATTGTGAAGTTTGGAGTGTGACTGTTTGAGGTTGTGGACAGGTGTCTTTTATACTGATAACAAGTTCAAACAGGTGCCATTAATACAGGTAACGAGTGGAGGACAGAGGAGCCTCTTAAAGAAGAAGTTACAGGTCTGTGAGAGCCAGAAATCTTGCTTGTTTGTAGGTGACCAAATACTTATTTTCCACCATAATTTGCAAATAAATTCATAAAAAATCCTACAATGGGATTTTCTGAATTTTTTTTTCTCAATTTGTCTGTCATAGTTGACGTGTACCTATGATGAAAATTACAGGCCTCTCTCGTCTTTTTAAGTGGGAGAACTTGCACAATTGGTGGCTGACTAAATACTTTTTTTCCCCACTGTAAACTGAACAGTACCGGACCCAAAATTGAACCTTTTGGAATGCCACATGTGAAATGTATTTTCTCTGAGTTATGTTCACCAAGGGTGACAAAAAACTCTCAACCAGTTAAATAGGTCCTAAACCAATTTAGAACTGGACCAGAGAGGCCAACCCACCTCTCCAGTCTGTCCAGAAGGACATCATGGTCAACAGTGTCGAATGCAGTACTTACATTTAAGAGTACAAGGACAGAGAGCTGTTTGGCATCAGTGTTGGCTCTAAGATCATTTACCACTGTCAAGAGTTGCTGTAGGTAGGTGTGGTGTGGAATCAGGCGCAGGACGCAGAAGTAAAGTCCAACAAAATACTTTAGTAGATCACACAAAAATAATCCAAAACCAGCCCGGAGGCGAGAAAAGCGCGCACAGGCGTACACAAACGGGCGCACTAAACAAGTGCGTAATCTTCTCCTAAACACAAACAAGGAGGTAAGCTACAAAATAGCGCACCAAATACAGGTAGCGCAGCAACACGACAAGGAACAATTACACACAACACCTAACTAACAACAAGGAACTAAATAGGGTGCTTAATGAGACATAACACAAAACAGGTGTGACAAACAGACAAAACCAATCAAACAAGAAACATAGAACGGTGGCAGCTAGTACTCCGGAGACGACGACCGCCGAAACCTGCCCGAACAAGGAGGAGGGGCCGCCTCGGCCGAAACCGTGACAACCACTTTAACAAAGGCTGTCTCTGTGCTGTGGTGGGCCCGAAAACCAGATTGGAATTTTTCAAAAATACAGTTGGCACTTAAAAAAATAATTTAGCTGTTTGAAAACCAATTTCTCCAGAATTTTGCTTAAGAATGGAAGGTTGGAGATTGGCCGTAAATTGCTAAGAGCTGAAGAATCTAGATTACTTTTCTTCAGAAGGGGTTTCACCATAGCAGTTTTTAGTGCAGTGGGAAAAGTGCCTGTGAACAGGGAGTGATTAACAATAGCTTGCACTTCTTCAGATATGCAATTAAAAAACTGTTTTGAAGAAGGTGGTGGAGGGATAGGATCGAGAAGGCAGGTAGAAGACTTAAGTTGTGATATCACTTTCCTGAGCATGTCTGTGTCAACCAGGGAAAATAAATCCATAGTGCCTTTGTGAGGTAGGCTAGGGCACATATCATCAAACTTCTAATCAGGTATTGCTTGACTGATACCCAGCCTAATGTTTGTCATCTTATCTCTGAAATATGCCGCAAACTCATCACATTTAGATGTGGAGGAAAGTTCATATAGGTTTGTGGGGGTAGGATCTATCAGGCCATCAATGGATGAGAAGAGCACTCTCTAATTATTCTGATTATTAGTGATGAAGTTAGAAAAATGAGCCCATTTGGCATTTCTAATTGCCTTGTTAAATATGCCAAGATGTTGATGATGATCTCTTTAATTTATTAGCCCGTCCTTGTTTTGCAGATGTGAACGAGTGTGAGGGGAGCAACCCCTGTCAGCACCAGTGCTACAACATCATGGGCTCCTTCATCTGCCAGTGTGAGGAGGGTTATGAGCTAGCCTCCAACCAAGCCTCCTGCCAAGGTACTGCACACACTGTTAGAGTGAGTGAAAGAGTGAGTGAGTGTGTGTGTGTGTGTGTGTGTGTGTGTGTGTATGTGTGGGGATGGAGGGCTGGTTGTGCATCCCCTCATCGAACAAAGCTAACACTGACATGCATCTTGCTATCTTAATGGGAACATGCATTTACTATCCAATGAATTTTTGCCATTATACACTGAGTATACAAAACATTAAGAACACCTGGACTGGCCAAGTGAATCCAGGTGAAAGTTATGATCCCTTATTGATGTCACTTGTTAACTCCACTTCAATCAGTGTAGATGAAGGGGAGGAGACTGGTTAAATAAGGATTTTGAAGCCTTCAGACATGGATTGTGTATGTGTTCCATTTAGAGGGTGAATGGGCAAGACAAAAGATTTAACAGCCTTTGAACGGGGTATGGTAGTAGGTGCCAGGCGTATCGGTTTATGTCAAGAACTGCAACGCTGCTGGGTTTTTTCCGCGTGTATCAAGAATGGTCCACCACCCAAAGGACATCCAGCCAACTTGATACAACTGTAGGAAGCATTGGCGTCAACATGGGCCAGCATCCCTGTGGAATGCTTTCAACACATTGTAGAGTCATGCCACGATGAATTGAGGCTGCTCTGAGGAGGGGGTGTGTGCAACTCAATATTAGGAAGGTGTTCCTAATGTTTGGTATACTCAGTGTATATTTATCAGTACCTTAATGTATTCTGATACAATTTCACAATCCCTACCACTCACACCTAATATTTTATTTCCTGAGAAGTTTCTGTCAGCCTCCTCCCCCTTAAGGGTTGACTGTGTAATATTTATCTATTCGTAGATATCGACGAATGCGCCTTCTCGAGTTACATGTGCCAGTGGCAGTGCGTGAATCAGCCCGGAGGGTATGTCTGTGCCTGTCCTGAGGGATACCAGCTCCAAGACAACCGAATGTGCCAAGGTAAATAGGCCTGTTTCAACTAGTATAATATCTAGCCCTCTCTTACACCAGCAGCAAGTCGTACGTCATAATGCTGAATCTCAATACCTTTTACCTGAATTCCCAATGATTACTCATTGGCTTTAGGCCTAGATTTTTACTTGTATCTTGGTATAAAGTCAGTATTGACACTTGATTGATTAACTAACAGTCCACGAGATAGTTGAAGCTACGCATTGTTTGTTTACAAAGACTACAAGACAGTTGTACTAAGCTCATAAGCTATTTTAAGTTATTTTCTTATTGAAATGACCTTTGACTACATTTTCTTCTCTCAGTAACTACATTTTCTCTCCATGAACAGACATAGATGAGTGTGAAACAGGAAACAACTGCCGCGAGGACGAGATGTGTTGGAACTACTTTGGCGGTTTCCGCTGCTACCCCAGGAACCCTTGCCGCGAGCCCTACGTGAAGACAGGAGAGGGGTGAGTATGGTCCAGTGAAATGCATAATGATAATCACATGATGAGTAACCTTGACTGGGACCTGAAGTCTTAGCGGGCTAACACAGACTTGTGGGGTGCAGGAGACCCAGGTTCAAATCCAGTTGGTTACATAGTATACATAGTATGGGTCCTTAAATGACCACAGACAGAACGGAGTGGCTGCATGACCTTTGTTTGCTGACGGCACGACGATGGTAGGCCCATGGCCCATGGGAAGATGTTTTGGGGTGGGGGTGCTGTCAGCGGGAGCGGGGGGGGGGGGGGGGGGGGGTGAAGCATGGTGAAGTTAGGATGGTGTATCAATACACCCAGTCACTACAAAGATACAGGCGTCCTTCCTATCTCAGTTGCCGTAGAGGAAGGAAATCGCTCAGGGATTTCACCATGAGGCCAATAGTGACTTTAAAACAGTTAGAGTTTAATGGCTGTGATAGGAGGAAACTGAGGATGGATCAACAACATTGTAGTTACTCCATAATAATAACCTAATTGACAGAGTGAAAAGAAGGAAACCTGTACAGAATAAAAATATTACAAAACATGAATACAAAGTGTTATGTTTGGGGCAAATCCAATACAACACATTACTGAGTACCACTCTCCATATTTTCAAGCATAGTGGTGGCTGCATCATGTTATGGGTATGTTTGTAATCATTAAGGACTGGGGTGTTTCAAGATAAAAAAATTAATGGATTGGAGCTAAGCACAGGCAAAATCTTAGAGGAAAACCTGGTTCAGTCTGTTTTCCACCAGACACTGGGAGATTAATTCACCTTCCAGCAGGACAATAACCTAAACACAAGGCCAAATCTACACTGAAGTTGCTTACCAAGAAGACAGTGAATGTCCCTGAGTGGCCGAGTTACAGTTTTGACTTAAAAAGTTTATACTTTAAAATCTATGGCAAAACCTGAAAATGGTTATTTAGCAACGATAAACAACCAATTTGACAGAGCTTCAAGAATTTTGAAAAGAATAATGGGCAAATGGTGCAGAATCCGGGTGTGGCAAGCTCTTGGAGACTTTTTTCTTCTAAAAAAATGTTTTCACTTTGTCATTATGGGGTATTGGGTGTCGATTGGTGAGAAAAAAAACAATTTAATCCATTTTGAATTCAGGCTGTAAAACAACAAAATGTGGAATAAGTCAATGTGTATGAGTTATTTCTGAAGGCACTGTACGCTGCTGCTAATGTTTATTATTTATCCTGTTGCCTTGTCACATTACTCCTAGTTATATGTTCATATCTACCTTAGTTACCTCGTACCCCAGCACATCGACTCGGTACTAGTACCCCGTGTATGTAGCCAAGTTATCCTTAGTCATTGTGTGTTTATAATTACTTTTATTATTACGTGTTATTACTTTTCTATTATTTCTCTATTTTCTTTCTCTCTGCATTGTTGGGAAGTAAGCATTTCACTGTTAGTCTACACCTGTTGTTTACGAAGCATGTGACGAATAACATTTGATTTGATTTTGAGGATACCTTTGCCTGTGCACTAAACAACCTTACGCATGTGTTACTTTACGCAAAAAAAACTTTACGTAGCTGCTGCTGCTCCCTCACTCAACCTTCCAGTTAATTCTCACTTAGGCTATACCTCTGAGGGATGAAACATTTCCCAAAAATTAGGAGGACATGATCGACATGATGTATAAACTCATTTGTCTGTTGTAACTGTAAGGTTAAGATTACATCATTGCAAACATAAGCAGGAGGCAGCCAGGCAGTGTACGTAGTGTTATTTTTTCTGCTTTTCAGTCAGTATCTAGGCAACAACATTAGTGGGGGGTTACAGACAGCATGGACCACATGGATAAAAGTGTCAGCTAAAATAACCTCATAGCTAAAACCACATGTATTAAAGTACTAAAATGACCATTTACACAAAACCACATGGACCACATCAATAAAAGTGCTAGCAAAAAAAAAACACATACTGTAGACAAAACCACAAGTGTCTGCTAAAATGACCACATAGCTAAAACCACATAGGCCACATGTATAAAAATATCTGCTAACATGACCACATCCAATGGTTCTCTCTGTCTCTGCATGTCCATAGGCGTTGCAGCTGCCAGTCGCCCACAATGTGCCGAGGCCTGCCGCCGTCCATTGTCTACAAGTACATGAGCATCTCGTCGGAGCGTTCCGTCCCAGCCGACATCTTCCAGATCCAGGCCACGAGCGTCTACCCTAACATGCACAACACCTTCAGGGTCAAGTCTGGCAACGAGGGAGGGGAGTTCTTCCTCAGGGTGAGCCCAGAGATGTTTCAGTCACTCACCAGGCATTAATATTACCGTCATTACCGTCATTACCGCATTTGTTACTTGCTTCTCTACCTAAGTGGTAGCATAATTGAATGATCTCTCATCTGCTGTGTCATTTAAACACTTATTTGAGGTAGGGGTTGGTTTCAAATGTTTTGGCTGCCCTTTGCTATTTAGGGAATATCGTGTGAGATTGCATTTTGAGTGGACCGTCCCTTTAATTAAATAATATTTTGACTTCCACTCATTGCTATCCCTTCCCCTTAAATGGATAGCTCACACACATTTCCCACTTACATCATTATTATTGGATACCTAAAAAGTAGTTTATAGGTAGGTTTGAAGCTAATATTCTAATATTCGCACCAGAAATGATGGAAATTTTACCGGCAGTGGTGTGTTTTTTATCAAACGGACTTCTTGCGACTAAAAAGCTGTGCGTAATGACGCAGTGCAAGGAAGTAAAAGGGTGCTTTGTCGTGTAACTTTTAATTTACCAAAATGAAAAACAGTTCTATGCGTTTCCATCCCACTTTTAACTTTGTTGATAGTTTTGGCACAAAAAGTCTGCGATAAACAGCAAATGTGGTGTTCTTATTCCAGCCAACAGCTCGTAGATACTGTACATAATGCAGAGGATACATAATGAGATTATAGCTAAGCGTGAGATCATTTTTATTTGTCAATTGGCAGCCAAGCACCGATCATCATGTCACCAGCATACAAATTAAGACCCTCGATATTTATTGGAAAGGAGCATCAAGCTCATCACTGTGAACTTTCACCACTCTGTAAAATGTATCATTACTTATTTAATATGTAGCCTAATAAACAGTGCATGTTTTTCCAAGTTGTAGTAGAAGGACCCTACAACATAGCATCTTGTGACTGTAAGTTTACTGCGACAAATGCGCAAAAAAAAGTGTTTTCACTGCAATTTGTTGCATTATCTATTTCACCGACAAAATAATTATCCACCCCAGTCTAGCGTATTTTGTTCTATCAACATTTTAGGAATGTTTATCAACAATTGCTGTTTCCATCAGGCCTGTCATGCATTGTTTTATCCAACAGGTACTTTACTCGCATAAAAATGGTTGGATGGAGACATGGTTTGTGGACCCGGAGGGTCAGCGACCCCAGATTTGGACATTAGTATTAACATCAATGAGTGTAAAATAATGCTAGTGGTAGGACCCTTGTTAGCATCCTCAGAACATGCTAACCTAAATAATCCCTTTAACCTACCAGCGCTCCAGTAACGTCAGTGCCATGCTGGTGATGACCAAGCCGCTGACCGGACCGCGGGAGCACGTGGTCGACCTGGAGATGGTCACCCACAACAATGTCCTCAACTACCGCTCCAGCTCTCTGCTCCGACTCACCATCATCGTGGGACCCTATGCCTTCTAAGTTCCAGTTACAAATTGCTCTTAGGCACAGATCTTAGATCAGTTTACCCGTCCCCATATCTCATATTATCCATTAGAAGATCACATGCAAAACTGGCCTTAGATCAGTGCCTAGGGGCACTTTCATCCTACTCAGCCCTCTTACTCCCTGCCAGACACTCACAAGGCCTAACAAAGTGTGTAGTCCTTTCTTGGAGAAGGAAGATTGGATAATTTGCAGTGAAAACCAACACACACACAGAGCACATACTGGAGGAGCAGGAGGGTGAAATAGCCAGGCCACAATATAGTCACTTTATGCATCACTGGCTAACGATAAACATTCTAAGAGCATAACGTGACTTAAATTGAACACAACTCCTTCTTATTCATCCCTTGCTAAACGTACGTATTGCACTGTAGTAAGAGAATGAGTTCTCGTTACATTGAAATCTTTGTGAAATCTCTCAACCTTAGTCTAGTCGAGATGTGTTTTCCTGCAGAGAAATGACCAGTGTTTGAAATCACACTTTTATCTTTTACCATAGTTGCCAAGTGAGGTTGTTCGCAATCACATCATATCCCCTTTAAGATCACTGATTTTGTTTCAGTTTGGAGAGCTTTTCATTTATGTAGTTGAAAAGAAACGTGCAGTAATGCAATGTGATGTCAATATAAATACCAATTGTCTTTGTAAAGAGACATATGTTTCAGTTTTCTTGAAGAGAGATAATCTCTGTTGGATGGACTACGAGCTTCTGACCAAATTACGTGAGATTTTAGTTCTTGGTTAACCGAGATTAGAAGAGAGACAAAGGCACCTAAAACAGTCAAGTTTATTGGTGAAGTGTGAATTATTGGGTTACAAGAGTAATGATTTGGCGAGGACTGCGATGGAACAGTTTGCAATGTGTTGTAATCTAATGGCATCCTTAACGAATGGAAATGTATGATCACGTCAACCCCCATCGGAGAGTTGCTCAGCAACCTCTGTCCAATGGGAATAAAGCAATAACGCTTTTGGACACAAAAGTGATATTTTCAGGAAATCATTGGCAGTGTTGTTTGGTCATATATATACGCAGGGGAATTGTTGCTTAACATGTCTTTATGTGTGCCAGAGTGCCTTTTGATCCTGCACAGAATTTCCAGTCAACAATCTGCAACAAACAGTTAGTCAGGTCATTTCGACACAGTGTGCCTTTCATAAGGAGTCATTGTATCACAATTTGAGATAACTCTGGTCTTTAAGTAGATGATTTGACTCCTTGAGACTTTTTAAAATAAATGTCATGCTTGACAATCAACAGGGAAGCTCAATTGAATCAAAAGGTTCCCACTTTCGAATAACATGCCATTTCAACTGTGTATGTACTGTATATAGGTAGGTACAGTGTAATTACAGTATTGCATATCTCTATGGTTTTAACAGTCAACTTGAGCAAATGTCTGTTAAAAAAAAAGTTTGAGAGGTAACAATTGTAACAGTTGTAGACCTACCATAAATAACAATGTGTACCTACACTGTGGTTGCAATGTACCTGCCTATATAATATAGCTATATAATTACCATGTAGATACATAGTTCTGGCAACAATATTATGTGGAACCAAATGTGGCTACATTCCAATATGAAAATTATTTATTGGGGTGATAATAAAATGTAATTAAAGACTGAAAATTGCCAATATAAATGTATGTCTTATTTGATAGGAAGGAAGTCCACGTGTAGCTCTAATATATAAAACATTCATGCGATTTAACATTTTTCTATATATTTCCTCCAAGCACAAGTTTGTCACAGCTTTTGAGAATATTTACTTCTTTTTTTTAAAATAAAAGATACATTTTACTTTGTCTTCGTCATGTACTGTTATTTATTCAAAATCAAGATCTAGTAAGCATACTTGAAGGAATTAGATTAGATTTCTATTTTTTTATTGAAATGTTTTTGGGTACATCTTCCCAGTCTAAATCAAATGATATGGTAGCTTAAGAACTTTAAATGATTGTTACCATTATAATAACATTGTGCCATCAGTAGGAGTAGGTAACATGAATGAAATGGAGGCCACAAATGCTCAAATCTAAGGTCATCAATCCTTTACAAAATAATTTACTAAGGTGATATGATTAATCATTTTGCTCACAATGTTATTTCCGTTCATTTAAATTGAGTAACACTAAGTGACACTTTGGATTTAGACACAAGTTGCTGGATATTGGTGGGAATTGGAACACGCTGTTGTACATGTCGATCCAGAGCATCCCAAACATGCTCAATGGGTGACATGTCTGGTGAGTGTGCAGGCCATGGAAGAACTGGGACATTTTCAGATCCCAGGGAATGTGTACAGATCCTTGCGACATTGGGCCGTGCATTATCATGCAGAAACATGAGGTGATGGCGGCGGATGAATGGCACGACAATGGGCCTCAGGATCTTGCCATTGATAAAATGCAATTGTGTTCGTTGTCCGTAGCTTATGCCTGCCCATACCATAACCCCACCATGGGGCACTCTGTTCACAACGTTGACATCAGCAAACCACTCACCCACATGACGCCATACACGCTGTCTGCCATCTGCCCTGTACAGTTGAAACAGGGATTAATCCGTGAAAAGCACACTTCTCCAGCGTGCCAGTGGCCATCGAAGGTGAGCATTTGCCCACTGAAGTCGGTTACGACGCTGAACTGCAGTCAGGTCAAGACCCTGGTGAGGATGACGAGCACGCAGATGAACTTCCCTGAGACAAATTGTTTTTAACGATTTTTTTACGTTGTAATCTTTACCCCCTTTTTCTCCCCAATTTCGTGATTACGATCTTGTCTCATCGCAGCAACTCCCCAATGGGCTCGGGAGAGGCGAAGGTCGAGTAATGCGGCCTCCGAAACATGATCCGCCAAAACTGCGCTTCTTAACACCTGCTCGCTTAACCCGGAAGCCAGCTGCACCAATGTGTCAGAGGAAACACCGTTCAATGGACAACCGAAGTCAGCCTACAGGCGCCCGGCCCGCCACAGAGTCATTTAGCTCAGCTGGTAGAGCATGGCGCTTGCAACGCCAGGGTTGTGGGTTCAATTCCCACAGGGGGCCAGTATGAAAAATGTATGCACTCACTAACTGTAAGTCGCTCTGGATAAGAGCGTCTGCTAAAATGACTAAAATGTAAAAAATAAGAATACAAATATTCCAAAACATGCATCTTGTATGCAACAAGGCACTAAAGTACTGCTGCAAAAAAAACATCAAAGTAAAACACTTTTTGGCCTAAATGTAAAGCCTTAGGTTTGGGGCAAATACAACACAACACGTCACTGAGTAACTGTCTCCTTATTTTCAAGCATGGTGGTGGCTGCATCATGGTATGGGTATGTTTGATATCGGCAAAGACTGGGGAGTTTTCAGGATGAAAATAAATGGGATGGAGCTAAGCACAGTGTTGTGAAATCTGTGAATGTATTTTGATGTATTTAAAATGGTATAACTGCTTTAATTTTGCTGGATCCCAGGAAGGGTAGCTGCTGCCTTGGGGATCCATAATAAATACAAATACAGGCAAAATCCTAGAGGAAAACCCGCTTCAGTCTGCTTTACACCAGACACTGGGAGAGGAATTCACCTTTCAGCAGGACAATAACCTACAACACAAAGCCAGAGCTTGTAAATCTATGGAAAGACTTGAAAATTGCTGTCTAGCCATGATCCCAAACACCTTGACAGAGCTTGAATAATTTTGAAAAGAATAATGGGCAAATATTGCACAATACATATGTGCAAAGCTCTTATGAGACTTACCCAAGAAGACTCACAGCTGTAATCGCTGCCAAAGGTGTTTCTAACATGTATTGACTGAATCCTTATCTAATCAAGGTACACTACCAGTCAAAAGTTTGGACACACCTACTCATTCAAGGGTTTATTTTTACTATTTTTTACATTGTAGAATAATAGTGAAGACATCAAAACTTTTAAATAACACATATGGAATCATGTATTAACCAAAAAAGTGTTAAACAAATCAAAATATATTTTATATTTGAGATTCTTCAAATAGCCACCCTTTGCCATGATGACAGCTTTGCACACTTTTGGCATTCTCTCAACCAGCTTCGTGATGTAGTCACCTGGAATGCATTTCAGTTAACATTTCAATTAACAACCCTTGAATGAGTAGGTGTGTCGAAACTTTTGACTGGTACTGTATATTAGTGTTTTATTTTTCAATCATCTTTAAAAATAAAAAAAATATTCCACTTTGACATTAGAGTATTTTGTGTAGATCGTTGACAAAAAATGACAACAAGTATTTTTTTTGGGAAAATCATGTTCAGTTCAATTCAATTAATATAATTTAAAAGTATGCATCAAGGAGTTTGTAATAGAATATACTTGTCAAAAACGAATGTAGACAATTAATGGATGTCTCATCAGTGTGAGAAATGTGTCAGTAGTTTGTTCACTTAAAAGGAGGCCTAAACTTCCCTATGCACACTGCAATAACACAAATACCAAGTTTTCTATTTGACCAAATCATAATTTAAGCATTGCTAGCAACCTGTGAGAGGCAGCTATAACTCTGAGGTAGATGCGGATCTCTCTCTCTCTCCCTCTCTCTCCCTCTCTCGACCTCTCTCGACCTCTCTCGACCTCTCTCGACCTCTCTCGACCTCTCTCTCTCGACCTCTCTCTCTCGACTCTCTCTCTCTCTCTCTCTCTCTCTCTCTCTCTCTCTCTCTCTCTCTCTCTCTCTCTCTCTCTCTCTCTCGACTCTCTCTCGACCTCTCTCTCGACCTCTCTCTCTCTCTCTCGACCTCTCTCTCTCTCTCTCTCTCTCTCTCTCGACCTCTCTCTCTCTCGACCTCTCTCTCTCTCTCTCTCTATCTCTCTCTCTCTCTCGACATGATTATATTCAGATACAGTTTTAAGCTCATGATCTTATTGAGTTGATACAAAAGAGATAAGCTGGCTTTTCCAAAACAAATTGAAATCATTTTTCTGGGGTCAACAGTGGGAATAGATTAGTACTCCTTTAAAAGTGTGTTCCCAGCAAAACCATCTTGAATCCTCCCTCTGTCGTCTCTGTTTTCTGCAGATGCCAACATCAACTGACGGGGCCGACATCGAGCTGGGCTGCTCAACGCCTTGAGCTGAATACCTGCTGGCTGCAGGTGAGCAGAACCTCTCCTAACTGGACTGCCTCTCTGTTTGTCTCTCTCAAACCAAACTACCAATCTCTATTTGAGATTCTCTCATCCTCAATTCATCCATTATTGAAATTCATTGGATTATCACCAAAACCAAAATGTCCTCTAAAGTTTTGCTTTGTTATCCTGATCACACACACAACCCTCTGTGTGTAATTTGACACCTGTGCTCTTGTCCTCAGGAGCCAATGTCCATGCCACAACGGCAACAGGATATACGGCGCTGACGTACGCCTGTGAGAACGGATGTGGCTGAGGTGCTGCTGCAGATGGGAGCTGACCTGGTGAGACCTCACCCTCTGGCCTCATCGCTAAGAAA